CTTCATCTTCTCATGCAGGTTTTTGCACTTTGGTTCTCACCAGACTACATTGTCAGTACTCACATCTTTGTCTTCAGACTAGTTTCTTTAGGCAGATACTTAACCTCATCTTGGTAGCCTCAGTGCCTGGAGCCCTGTAAACCTTGGCCGAACCCAATTAGACACTGCAGCCATCCTGCTAAATCCTGTATTAAATGATAGATTTTAAAAAGTGGGGCGAGATCAGAGCACCAAGCTCCAGTGTCCTCTCCATAGCAGGCTTATGCACGTGGTCTTCTTGCCTGTGTTTTCTTTTTTACACCTCAGCACCCCCTCTGAGCTCTAGCATTACTTCCTGGGAAAGCCTTCCCTGCTCCCACCTCCCTAGGTAACTTCCTCCAGAAGTTGCTCTGTCAGAGGACTGGCCAGTAAATACTGGTGTACAGTGACTTGGATATTTGATTCATGTATGAGTTTCCTACCAGATAGTGGATGTTCAGCTTGTAGATGTTGGTTTCAGTTCTGAGGTTGCTTATAGTCTAGTTGGGACTATATGAACATATAAAAATGTGGATTGATTATGTGTGATACAAATAGGAGTGAACTTCCTGTGGGTCCAGGTCAGGACCTGAGAGAGGGACAGCAGGGTAGAGAGTGAGCCCTGAAGGAAGGGCAGGATCTTAGAGCTGGAGAGAAGCTGACTCCCTTGATCTCCAGGGAACATTTGTTCCAGGAACTCTAGCCCCTGCAGGAATGTGTATTTTCCAGGACTTGCAAGTTGACTGCAGCCGGCTAACCCTCCTTCGGCAGCTCTGCTAACACACCCTTCAGGGCTGCTCTCAGAATAGCAGCCTGGTTTAAGTGGTCAAATTTCACAACCTCCTCATTATTAGCGGTGCAGTTAAGGGACTGATACCATCTTGAACACAGCCCAGTGTTTTAGAATTGAGTTGTGGGCACACTTCTTCCGCCACTTTTAAAAAAATGTCTTAGGGCCCTCGCCAGGTAAAGTTGTTCTTTGAGTGATAAATACAGTTTTCCCAAAGAAGTAACAATTTGCAAAACATCCGGAAGGGAGGTTTTGCATCCTCTTTGTCACTGGGTCTTAACTCTTGCTTTTCCATGGTGGAATGGGTTTGTTTGTGGTGGGTAACTTTGTATCAATCACTTGTGCTGAGGTTTCTTTCTTTCCCACCTCTTGTCTTGCTGGTTGTTTGAGAAGCCTATTTATGGAACAAAGAATTAGGAATCTACTTACACAGGTTTCTGTTTAGTGGCTTTTCCTGAAGTGGAGGAGGAGGAACATTTCTTGCTTTCCTAACTAAATGGGGTATACCTTCTCTGGTCTGCTATCCCAGAAACACAGTTTCTACCTCCAAAATGCCTGTTCCTTCAGGAATTCAGGAAGCCAGAATGCTGGCATCTTCTTTACAGCGAAGTGCACGTTTCCCATTTAAGGCAAATACTTCATCTCAAAAGGTAGAAAGGAATAGGGTGGTACTTGGAAAAGAAGAAGTTCCAGCTGGTTAAAATTTAGGTCCCTGATAAAAGTCCAATGCAAGAACTCTCCTTGGCTGTGGGCCCAGGCATGTTTATTTGATTCTGAATTGGATGCATTTTCATTCACTTGTAGCTTATGGCTCCCAAGCCTGCATCTGGTCAGCCTGTCTGTGGCCATGTCATCCGTGTTATACATGCACTTGTGTCCCTTACAAAATTCTTGGCTAAAAATGGCTCAGTCCTGGTTGACACGTTTTTCAGAGAGATAGTTTTATAAGAAATGCAGCTTTTCTTCCAGCCTGTTTTGCAGAATTAATTGGGAATCCTCCTGGCCCATGTCCATCTCTCTTGAGCAGCTCTCCTTTCCCCACCTGACCCTGGAGCCCCTGCAGTGCCTGGGGCATTGTGCTAGTTATTAACTTGGGGATACAGTTGGGTGAATGTGACCAGCAACTAAGTATGGGCTGTGGCACCATTTCCTTTCAAACAAGATTTCTCAGTGTGAATCCACCGGCTTCCAGTATTATCAGGATTGCCTTGGAGCTTGTTAAAATGCAGATTCAAGGCTAATGGGACCAGAATAGGAGTGAGATGGGGCCCAGGTATTGGCATTTTAACAAGTTCCTCTGATGCTCTCTCAAAGATGAGAGCCATTGCTTTGGGAGACAGGCTTCCGTGATCAGAAGAAGGAGGAGGGAAGCCACATTCTAAACATTTAAAATCAGAGTTTGACTTTAAATTACTTCACTGGACTTAGGAAAGTGGAGACTGTAAGAGCCCTGGCCAATGAAGGGGGTCAGGCTGCTGAGGGGGGTACCTAGTGCGGGTGGATGCCTCTGGCCTGAGGTTAAAGAGGAGGCCAGGAGTGAAGGAGACCTGATGCTTCCACTGGGTTCCTCCCCAGAACAGCTGGGCTTGTCTGGAAAATAGTCTCAGGAAAGAGTAGGGTAGCATCCAAATCATATTCTCAGCAGTTCAAACCTTACAGACAGCTTCTCTACAAAGGAAAGAACTGCTAATGCTTTTTTTAAGTCTTTATTTTAAGTTGAGTATTTTTCATGCTTCATTTTGCCTAAGATGTGTTGGTTTTTTTAACTCTTTTTAAGCATTTGAAACCTCTTTGCCCCCCATGGGTCCCTAAACTTTTCACATACAGTGCCCCAGAAGATGTCTGCTGCTGCTGGGGCCACCCTATCAACAATTAATTGTCTCTGCCATTCCCCCTCACTGCCTCTTGTGTCTGCCT